AGAAAGAAAGAAAGAAAGAAAGAAAGAAAGAAAGAAAGAAAGAAAGAAAGAAAGAAAGAAAGAAAGAAAGAAAGAAAGAAAGAAAGAAGGAAAAGACACAAAGACAAGAAATTTGGGAATGAAAGGAAAATGATATAAAGTCATATACACGTGTACAAGAAACAAAAGAAACAACATATATACAGTTGCATATTTTACATGAGATACAAACTCAGGATTGAAAAGCTATAATAAAATAAAATCCCATCTTCCACCAACCAATCTTTATTTCTTCTTTCTCTTTCTCAATCATTACATTCTCTGTAGTGCAATCTTTTTGCTCCATTAAAATGTAGATGCAGAATTAAAACCAATTTTTCTCTCAATCTGCATAAACAAAGAATTTTAATCTCTCTATTTATTTCAATATTCCAATGAGCTCTGGAATGAAATGTTTCCTCAAATTTAAATGTAAATTTCACATCTAACAGTATTTCATCTTTTGTATTAAAAGAGTACAATCACATTACCTCTGGGTTTTCGGTGAGGTAAATCTGTTTAGAGATATTGTTTATTGTGCATATCCACTGGAAAAAAAGTTTAAAATATAGTTACTTTTTTGCTCATTATATACTTTGAATTTCTATATTATTGTTAAGAGATTAAAAACATGGTAAATGCTTTAGTATGGTCAGAAGAATAACTTTTATCCTTGGAAATTAACAAAAATAGGTGCCAGGTTATGATTTTTTCAGAGAAGTAAATCTCACCTTGCCCTTAGCCTGTACCTCTCCAATAACAAATAATTTAAAAAAATACTTAACATGTTAACAATCTTTGCATGCATAGACTAAGTTAACAATAAGCAACACACAAGACAATTAGTTTCCAAACTACAGAGCAGGACAGAGGAAACTTGTGACTTTCCAGATGATGTTAAATTCCATGTTTCATGCAATTAGTCATATTTGCTGAGCCTGTTGCAAGTTGTGGTTGTACAACTTTTAGAGCAGATCGTTTCTCCAACACTACCACAGAAGCGAAAGAAAAGTTCATGCAATTTTTTAAAAAAATCATCTTTAAATAAAGTTTCATTTGTCTAGCTGAATTTTTCCTCTTGATTTTTTAAAAAATGATTCCAATAATAGAAGTGAGAAACCACAGGGTTGCTAAATGTGAAATAATCCACACAATATGCAGTTTTAATACTAAACCAGCAATGTGGCACATTTGAAATTCATTTCCCTGCATTAGTTACTTAGCACTGAGAGCAGCAGGTTTCAAACCTATGGTATTTTAAATTGCCTTGTTACAGCTAATGACAAGGTGAGAACTTTCCACTCTGCCTTTCTTTTGGCTTGAAAGCTGGCACAATTTTCCACTATTGAAGATTCTCAATTTCATGATAAAGTTGATGCCTGAATTGAAATCTACCTAAATGTAAATTTCACCACTATATTGTAAGTCATGAATTGCTTGTAATCTAAATTCTTTTTTCTTTATGGGAAAAAACTCCACTCTTCTTGTGAATGAAAGCGTTTAGGCTACAAACCATATAATGCTTTGGCAGTCTTCACCTTTTCCATGTCATCAGCATATAATTATTCTGCTCTTTAAAACTGCCGATAACTAGCATCACAAATTTAATTTGGAAACCATTTACAGGTAGTCTTAACTTACAACAGTTAATTTAGGGACGATTCAAAGTTACAATGTCTCCAAAAGTGATTTATGAACATTTTGACACTTATGACGATTGCAGCATCTCTATGATCACATGATCAAAATTTGGATGCTGTTTCCTGGAGCCATGTGACCCTTTTGCGACCTTCTGACAAGCAAAGTCAATAGGGAAGCCAGATTCAGTTAATAACCCTGCTACTAACTTAACAACTGCAGTGATTCACTTAACAAATGGGGCAAGAAGGGTCTTAAAATGGGGCAAAATTCACTTAAGAACTGTCTCACTTAGCAATATAAATTTTGGGCTTAATTGTGGTCATAAGTGAAGGATCTGTACAACCCCGTACAAGCATCATATTTTCTTAATGGCTTTCCATTACAGCAATTGCCTTATTTTATTGCAGAATAAAAGAATGGAATCTGATGGCACATTAAAAGAGTGATCTATTTATTGTAAGAAAGAAAGGCTTTCATTAATTAGACAGATTTGTCAGGTTTGGGAAATTTTACTCCTTATAGCCTCCCAAAACATTTACTAGTTTCAATAATCATTCTGTTAAAAAGCTTACTTCTTCGTAATCTTTTCTGCTCTCAGCTTGCAAAATTGAAGACCTGTTGGACCAGGAAATAAAAGAAACAAATTGAATTATATTTCTTAAACAAACCCAGGAAAAGAAATGTTCATCAAGTTGTTGGATTCAATTTGTTGATACATGCAATTCTTTATACACTATACCATTTGTACCTTGCCAAATCTCAAACAGAAAAACCCTGATGGACATTGCCCACCTATAATATTTATCTTTGCATTGTGGAACTCAGCATATTTCATTTGAGCTACGTTCTAGGGGCAATTATCCATTGATAGAGATAATTTTTGTTATCTGGGCTTGTCTTTTGCTAACCTCTCTCAGTAAAAAACAGTAAGTGCACAGAATGAGAGGGAGATATCCATATTGCGTTTTAGGCTGAGAGGAAAACAGGCAATCAGAAAGAAAAAGCTGGCAGACAACTTTCCTCTCTAAACTGAAAACAAGGATTGAAAATACCATTAACATTTTAGAAGGAAACTAAGTAGACAGTAGACAGGATTACACATTAAAATCTAAATACAGAATCTCCTTCAGCGAGATGGGCGGCATACAAGTTTGACAAAGGAATAAAATGATTTAAAAAAGCAAAATATATTTAGATTGCCACCTAGAGAGCAGGATCAAGTTCTGATTAAGTAAGTTTATTTAAAGTAATAGAAACTTGACCTGCCAAGTTTTCAATCTGGGAAAGACAAGGTTTTATTCCTTCTTCTCTCCCACCTTTCAAGCAAAACTGAAGGGTTGCAGGAAATACTTTGTTCCTCCCTTACTAAAAACATATGTAAGAAAAGGTAAGAATACAAACTTTTTGCCATCAAAAGATGTTATTTGAAAGCAGTATCTTCGGTCTTCACAATCCACAGCCATTACTGAACAATTGTCTATATCCATTACCAGCCCTCCAGCAACTTCACCTCTTCCTTGGCTCATTAAGTTTCCACCCTGTGTGAAGTAAAACTGTCTGTCCCAACTGGAAGACACCAGTCCTGTTTTACTGAAGAAAAAAGAAAATCTGACTTAGTCCAACCTAGCAGCAGAAAATATCTAATGAAAAAATTATAAGCTTTGGACTGGGAGATAGTTTCATATAATTGAATGCAGTTATGCATAGATTATTTTGGTTCAGCAAGAAATACCAAGAGAGAATATAAAACAGTACTTAACTAAATTTCTCAACATACTGTTTTATCAGCAAAATACTACCGGTATTGCTTTCTCTCCATGTTTATGTATGTGCGCATATGCGCACACTCACACACACACAAAGGATCCTTGTTTTGGGCTTTAAAGATAGCTTTAAGGCCACTTTACATTCTTACTCCACAGCACACCTGTACTCAAAACACAGGAAACAGTGTCTACATTCATACAGCAAAGATGTAACTTTCATACAGCTCTTCTCAGATGTTCAAAGATACAAATATATTTGCCAGATGGTGCAAAAACACTTATAGAAGAATATTAAAAGTATGGGCAAAAATTATATTATGTCTGCTATTTCCATCACTAATCATTTCAAAAATGAAATATTGTAATGCAAAAATATTTTGGGCCAGGATTCAACACACAGGATTCAAAAAAGTAATTGTCAGATCTGTTAGCTTCGGCTTGGCGTCTTGCTGGCATCCTGCCATCAAAGGACAAGGGTGAAGAGATGGGGACAAATGGGCCATAAACCTGTGTGTATCTATTGTGGTAAATAGGGAGGGGGGTATGACAGCTGAGGAAGAGTAGATCTACATGGAACCCGTTCATGCCAGACATCTTCAAGGTCGTTTACCCTGAGCGTGGAAAGTTACCAGCCGAAACATCTCAAGTGTTCCCAATACATCTCAGCAACATCACATTGGACTTGGACTGGTCAAGGTGGGGACGGACAGGGAATGAAAGAAATAGTTTTGTGTTGTTGCATGGAAAACTGATTCCCCCTGACTTTACTGAAACCAGCATCTCTTATTAAAAGTACCTTTCACTTTAATCAAATGGAGTCAGGGAATCAGACTGGGGCAATAATATGGGCAAACAAATTTTATTTTTTAGTGCGACTTTATTTAGTATCTCCTGCTGACCTTAAGTTCACTTGTGGAATTGTTGTGAAGATGAAATAGCGGAGATCACTAGTGCTCCTTTGAGCTTTGGGGAGGCAAGAACAAACAAATAAGTCATTGCAATCCAGAGACAGATGCAATCCACTTTTAAAGCTGCACCCTTTTTAAAGAGAAGCTGCTGTAACAAAAATAATAAATGAAGGAGCAGCTGTTCTCCCAGGTGTATATATTGCTTCCAAGGTTTCAAGCCAAACTACCCTGAGACAAGTTAAATTATAATACATTGTGACATGAAACCTCATAAACAAGATCATGGATTTAATGACAAATCTGTACTGTATGCTGGTTGGTACTGGACATTATTTTGAATCTTAAAACTATTAACAACCAATAATTATTTTTACATACAAGACAGTAATCAAGGCCCATGTAATTTATAACCCAGGCTATATTATAGGTATCAGAAATTGGTTCTTACTTTCTTGCATTTAGATAACCAGCCTTGCGAGTAAGGTTTCTTTGGACCAAAAATTTTGTAGTATCAGGATCTGGTAAATAAAGTTGATCACTGGCTATTTCCAAATCTTCTATAGTCTGTTGCATCGTCTCCACTTCATGATCCATTTCCCTGCGAACGCTAAAACCATAGTTTTTTTTTAAAAAAATTATTCATAGTAGCTAAAATTAATGTTTTAAAAGAAAGAGCATTACATTATAAAAAGAAAAAAATGAACTTACTCCTGCACACTTGTCCCGATATTTGTTAAAAATTCTTCCAGCTGTTCAGAAAGGTTTTCTGAGCCCATCTTAAAGAAGTTAATCTTTTAAAAGAAAATTCAGATACTTATTTAGTTGGAACTTATAGAATCTTAGATATTTCCATATTAATTGTCCATATCACAACATACATATAATTAGTTAGGTTTTTCTATCAACAAATTACATTTACATGCTTACTTTTCCAATAGATATTAACCATTTAGTACTTCTGCTTAATTTGATTGAATTTATATAGCTGCCCATGCCACAAAAGGTTTATGTTCCAGTTTGATATTATTTTAATACTTTGGATACTCAAAATATTTTAATGTAGTATTCCAAAATCTCCCCTCCACCATGCATTTTGTAATTTACCTGAGCCTGCATATAACCTAGTAAGGGTTCCAACATAGCAATTTTCTTCTTATACTGCAGTGTATTTAATGCACAGAAGTAATGCATCATAGTCTGATGTTGTTTTTTCCGAGAAGTATATACATCTTCTGTAACTTCATATTTGACCTTTAAAAAATATAATTCAAAGCAAGCAGTTTACTATTAAAAGGAACAATTTCCTTGCAATTATGTGAAAAAAACCTAAATTTATATTTTTTTTCCAAAATACATTTTTTCTTCTACTCATCTTCTGCAGATTTGCAATTGTAAATATATCTACATGAAAAGTTCATTTTAAAATAGTCATTATGATGTCACATGAGAAATAGGTTTTGTTTTTTTCCAGGGCACTGTGTGAACTGCTTGGCAAAATATATTAAATATTACATTACCAAGGGAAGGATAGGGAGGGGAAGGGAGGGAAGGAGAGAGAGAAATGCAGCACAGTTACTGCTGAGATATCTCACTGAATAAAGACACTGATAACACTGGACAGGAACATATACTACATATATTTCATTGAAGATTAGCTGCATTCACTAGGATTATCACGTAATTTTTAAAATAATTGAAAAGCAACATAAGACTTTTTACACTACTATAGCATGAGTTCTAAATGCTGGATTAGTTTCACAAACCTTCTCATTTTCTCTTTTTTTTGACAGTCGACTATATCTGGTAATTGCAGCATCATGATCTAAAAAAACAAGTTTTACAATATTTATATAGTAGCTACAAACATTACAAGCGCTTAAAGCAAAAAGCAACTAAACCAATAAAGCAGTAATTCAGGCAATTAGGCTAATCTTGCTTTTTTAAATATCAATACAGGCAAAAATCTGTTTCCAATAATTTCAGAAATGTTTTTATCATTTCAAGATAAACAAAAACTATTATCCTGAAGCACTGATTATATCAATAAGATATCCTCTTTTTATAATGTCCCATTAGAACAAGAGCTTACTCATCATAATTTTTCCCCAATTACCTTGTATACAGTTCTCTAAGATTAGTTTCCCTTTAACTTTTAGATTGAAATTTCTTTTTTAAAACTAGCAAAATTATTCTCTAAAGACAGAAATCTCTTTATAAAAAGTTAATCTTGACTGTTTATAATATTATAATCATGCAAAATCAAATAAAAAATAAGCCATGAAAGTAATTTCTAAAACATACTTTACCATTGCTGGAGAGCTGGAAAACCTCTTTCAAAGTCAGAATTTCTGAAACAAATGTAAGAAAATGAGCAGTGTTACTATAGTTCTGCTGCTTTAATGCAAGATGAACAAAATTTGATTCATTTATTATAAGTCTTCACTGGCCTACATTTCAGGGACCATATGAATTGTTTTGTAATGTAACATGAAAATAATTCCCTAAAGTTATGGAATTGTATCCAATGGTTGAGCTATTTCTTCCTCTGTTTTCTCCTACACTTCTCTGAGAATCCTTTCCATAAAGTCAGGGGCTCTCTTTTAAATGTCATGTCATTTGAGATAGTAAACTTGCTGTGGGAGAACTCTTCACCTAACTATATGAGTTTTTTTGAGGGATTCAGGAGGTTTGGGCAGAGAAATAAGAAAAAATTTCAACAACTAAATGCAGTCCATAGGTCAAAACAGAATATTTGTACAATTCTACTCAAATTTAAGCCTATTACTTCAGTAAAACATACACAAGGTTACAGTTTCATATTTCAAGAGGATTAATACACATAGATTACTAATGCATAAGTATTCAACTCCACTGAACTCAAGGGACTGGAGCACTGCATTCTGTTCAAACATATTGTATAGGCAGAAATAGATCCCTCCCTCCTTGTTCTCTCTTCTCTACTCATCCAACTTTTACTTTTTTATTATTGTATAGATGTATTCTTATTGTGTCCTTTTTCATTGTTTATTTTATTGTTCTGTTATCTTACTACTGTTCTGTTTGTACTTTTTATTTCTTCATGTTTATTGTTCTTTTATTTATTGTTGTAAAAATAGGCATAAATAAAATAAATAAATGGAAACAAGAGGTCCCTCAAATAACCAGGCCCATGCCATAAAGGGCTTTATAGCTGGCAACCAGCACCTTGAATTCCTCCTAGAAAGCTACTGGCAATCACTGCAGTTTGTGGTTGCAACATGAGATATCTATTACTGTTTGTGCCACTGTGTTTTTTATCCATTGTAGTTTCTGGATAGTCTATATAAGGAAAACTTCATGCAAAGCACACTGCAATAATCCAATCCTGAGATAACCAGGATATAAAGAGCAATCTGAAGGGCTCCTCGTTGAGGAAGGATGCAAATTAAGAGGTGATATTCAGCAGGTTCTGACCAGTTCTGGAGAACCGGTAGTGGAAATTTTGAGTAGTTCAGAGAACCAGTAAATACCACCTCTGACTGGTCCTGCTCCTATCTATTCTCTGCCTCCCAAGTCCCAGCTGACCAGGAGGAAATGGGGATTTTGCAGTAACCTTCCCCTGGAGTGGGGAGGGAATGGAGATTTTACAGTATCCTCCCCTGCCATGCCTGCCAAGCCACACATGCCTGCCAAGCCATGCCCACCAAGCCAAGCCACGCCCACCAAGCCACGCTTAAAGAACCGGTAGTAAAAAAAATTGAATCCCACCACTGATGCAAATGGCATACAAAATAACCTGTGTAAAATTTCACCTGGGCACAGCAGATGAGCAGGAAGTGGGAGTTCAGTGAAGTCCCCCCCAACTGAGTACCAATCTTAAATGAGGAAATACAATTCTTTCCAAGGACAGAGATGGAAATGTCTCCACCAAAAGGTCCATTCAGTCTATTTTATTTACCCCATTTTTCAGTCCCTAAGTGGATGGATGGATGGATGGATGGATGGATGATAGATAGATAGATAGATAGATAGATAGATAGATAGATAGATAGATAGATAGATAGATAGACAGACAGACAGACAGACAGACAGATGCCTTGAGACTGCTGGGAGTTGTAGTTCAGCAACTTTTGCAGGCAATCGCTTATGCATTCCAACTTTTATCATTCCCTTTTGCCTAAAACTGTTTTGAATGTGACAAACATTCTTAGATTTGCACTAGACTTCAGGAGGCCATTATAGATGGAATATATATTAACTATTGTTATACAAAACATTGTCCAGCAATCTGTGATCTTTGTGACAACAATTATTGTACCTTTTATATCTCTTTCTTTGAACTGTGTGATAGGAAACATCATGGCATCTGCTAATTGAGTTGATAGTACCGCATGACAAGAACTGAGCTAAGAAGAAAAAAAAAACAAGTACACAATGTTCCCTAAAATATAAACATTTTCATATTTCACTGTTGTTACAAAATAAGAAAAAATGTTAACTGAAGGACGGGCTGAAGAAGCAGTGGATCCTGGCATTTTTATATCTGTTCTTTTTTTGCAGAAGTGGATAAAAAACAAAATATATATTGTTTAGCACTATTTTCATTTATTTTTTTATTATTATTCATTATTTAGCATTATTTTAGTCTAATGTAATAATTTATTACATTCAAATAAGACCCAAAGAAGGCAATATGACAAACCATGATATAATCCTAACTTTTAGGCAGAATAAATCTGCATTTTGATATCTCCATTAAGAAAAGGTTGGTGCCTGCCATTAGGATTATGCCATTCAAAAAATGGTTTGTTGGGACCACAATTAGGAAGCAAGGTTGTATTTGGAAAAGGTCCAGGCAAGCTCTTCCCTGATTCACTAGGGTATAGAAAGAAGAGGAAGTAAAATACAATCAAGCTTGCAAGGTTCTATTTTTATAAACTAGCCCAATAAACTATTAACCTTATTCTCTTGTATAGTTGACTTTCTCGCCTGGTCTACCTAGCATGACTGACAGCTTGCATGGTGTGAAGGTTAAGGACATCACATGTCATCTGTAGAACCTGCTTGATAATGATGCAGAAGAGGCAGCAATCACAGCCCACACTAGCAGCAGTGACATTGGAATGTATAATTAGCCAGTTCTGGTAGCCAAATTTAGACTCCTAAGTAGAAGATCAAAACCAGGAACAAGAGAGCAGCCTTAGAAATGCTGACCATAATACTATTTTATATAGCATACAAATGGAAAGCTGCACTATCTGCAAACTCTAACACTATCATGTTGACTACAAAAGAATCAGTCCTCCCGAGCTCATTCATGGCTCCTGTCTGAACAGCAAATATATTTGAAGTTACATCTTATATACTAAGTATGGACTGTTCAGAAGTAGAAGCCTTTACTCATTGTTACTCATGCCATTGTCACTTTGTGAGTGGATTATCCTAATGATCTATATATAGGATGGCAACATTTTCTGAGTGCCACAAAATAAGATCTTCTGTAAGGCATTTGGGGAGTAATAAGATTATGTTACCCTGAATAGTGATGCCTCAGATTGATTGGCTATAATGGCATTATTTCTTTTTTTAAGTCTTTGATATAAACTACTATAAACTATTTAAAGTCTTTAGAAGTGGAGTGATATAACCATTGCATGCATGGAAAATAGGCTGATAGATTTTTAGAAAGGAAGACTTACCTCATCTATCACTTTGGCAAACTGCTGAAGAGTAGAATTCATAACTTCATCATCACCACCCAAAGGAAAGCGCTACCAAAAAAAAAACCCCACCACTTTTTAAATTCTGTATTTATTGATTTTTTTTCACTCTAAAAAATCACCGTAACATTGCAAAGATCTAATAACTTATACAAATTTAACATTGTTAGAAAATAATAAAGAATCTTGAAGCACTGTAAGTTAAATTTATATATATTGCATTGCTATATTTAAAAGGTATAAAAAACACCTGTTGGCCAGGAGAATTGTGCACATGCAGGCATGCGCACACACATTCACACATCTACAAGAGCTAGTAAATCATGGTATTAAATTATGATACTTTGATTAAAAAAACATTTGTCCATTTATGGCAGTTTCAATTTATTTTTATCTGTTTTCCCCTTCTGCGTTTCTATTTGTTATTTTCTGGTTTGTGTTGTTATGGACAAACCTTTAATGTTTTAATCAGACCATGCATGTTTTAATCTCTTATTTCTTTGTAAGCTGCCAAGAGCCATTTGATTGTTGCAGGGTAGTTAAGTAATAAGATAAATAAATTCTTAATAATAATAACTGAACAAAAATAAAATTGCATAGGCTTTATAAGAATAAGAAAGTGGAAAAAATAATGAATGTAATTTCTATGTGTTAAGCTACTGTTAAAACATATAAGTGGAGTTTCTAGAAGATGTTACAAACTAGGCAAAAACAGATTATGTTAGTCTGTAATTAATTTTCCATAATGATCCAGTCACTATCGCGATATGTTGTAAAAATCAGGCTGCCATATTAACCCATTCAATTTGGATCACAACATTTTCATTTTATAAGAGGGCTCTACCTGTTTCTCATATTCTTTTAGAAGCTTTGAAGTCAAATGTGTTGCCGCACTGAGTTCATTCTAAAAAGAGAATTTATCCTGATTTTAAAAAGATTTTTCAAATATAAACAACAATAGAAGTACAATATAAAATAAATTAATCAGAGTTAAACAAAGTTTCTTTAACTAAATGTATATGCTTTTTGTAACAATTATAGTTTCCCATTTTAAAAATGGAATGATTTATTACAAGTCATAGACATACACACTTTTAAAACAGTAACCATAGATTTAACTAAACAAATAAAAATTAATCAAATTCCCAGAATTATGACTGACCCATTGCTCATAATAGAAAATAATATCACTTTCTCTTAGAGCAAAAATTAAACTGCAGTAAAAGATTTGGAAGTAAAGTCAACAAGCAAAAAGAAGAGTGCTGCATATCTGTAGGATTCTTAATCTATGCAGACTATAGATTTAAAATTACTTGCAGAAGAGGGAAAGTTTTTTAAGAGTAAATGCAAATGTAGGTTTTCTTGCAGGAAGCTGAAGGGAGGCCACAAATTATCAACATTATCTTAAACTTGCACACAGCTTAATGATAGGCTGCTTTTGTGAAATAAAAACAAATCCTTTTTATGACATATCCTGGGAGATATATTCAGCATAAATCAGTTTATTAATTGGTTTACCTGTTGGGCAATCATAAAGATTGATTGCTCAGGAGGTAAACTAGACAGTTACAGTTAGGCTTAAGGTGAGCTTTCCAATTTGATATCAAATTTATTAAGAATCTGTCCAATTAACCATATTATACAATACATGTAATAACTTAAATTGTTACATAAAAATGCTTGCATCTAAATATATTATTGTTAAAAACTTCTGAAGAATTTGTAAGTTATTTGTTAATGTTACTTGTTAAACAATTAATATGGAAATATTAAAGGAAAACTGTATTTTTCTTTTTCTTTTCATTCTTTTTTTCACATTGACTACTAAAATCCCCGGAGTTAAAATTTTGGTTCCAGGTAGTCTTCAATTTACAACCACTAATTTAGTTACTGTTCAAAGTTACAATGGCACTGAAAAAAGTGACTTATGGTCATTTTTTGCATTTATAACCATTGCAGCATCTCCATGGTCACATTATCAAAATTTGGACGCTTCACAACTGGCATATATTTATGACGGCTGCAGTGGCCGAGATCATTTTGCAACCTCTGAAAAGCAAAGGCAACGGAAAAACCACATTCACTTAACAGTTACAATGATTCACGTAACAACTGTGGCAAGAAATGCCATAAAATGGGATAAAACTCACTTAAAACTCACAATGCTTAGCAAATGGAACTTTTGAGTTTAATTGTGGTCATAAGTTGACAATTATCTGTATAATCGCATCAGTGATAAAAATTTGGAAATATGATTGAAGGTTAATTAATTTCTGCATTTTACAGTCAAATTACCTGTGCATCATAAATTCGATGCATAGCTTTATACAGCTGGTTGATATATCTGGAAATTGCAGCAGCATCTTCTTCAAATACACCCAGTAAAGATCGTGTCTAAAAAGAAATATATAAATTTTATAATATTGCAACCACACTATTTTAGCTACATTTAACAAAGTTCCATTTCACATATAGGTAAGACAGAATTAGAATTCAAAACATTTCTATCTGATCTTTGACACATAACTAAAAGTTACCTGGCAAAAAGCAATTTTTAATGCACATCATTAAAACAAAGTATGCTGGCATAGTAACAGAATACTTAAATTCCTTTCAGTAAAATAGTTCATTTACTACTCTTTTTATGACCAACAGTGATAGGGAATAATAATTAAATATTTGAGCTTTATGTTTTTGCCAGTTATAAAAATTTAATACTATACAGTTTAAATCTATTTTATATTGAACTTGAAATCTAGATACAAGATAAAATTTCCTTTGAGTCAAGCTCTATACTGGTTACCACAGAGAGATGTCAAAGTTGTTTTCTTAGCTAAAATAAATTCAAAGAATATATTCTCTAAATGATAAATTATAACTCAAGTTAAGCTTTATAATCTTAAAATATCATTTAATGCTGGTTTTTCAAACTGCTCCTCACTAACTTATGTGGAAACTGAACAGTAAGAATAAGAGCACTGTTCTTTTATGAATGGATAACTGGCTATAAATACTATAGAAATGGGAAAGCTAAAAGAAATCCTTCCAAGAATCTAACAACAGTTTATAGAATTTATATTTGTATGGATAGAATGAATACTCAATTAATTTTCTTTTTAAATTCTCATTAACTAATTGATAATGACTCAAGATATTAAGTATATTTTGGGAATGAATATATATACTGTGTATAACTAGTTTTTTAAAGCTTAAAAAATCTTATAGAGGATAGGAACCTCAGGGTTATATGAAATAAAAAAAACTAAAGTGTCTCTCTTTAAAGACAATTTACATTTCCAGTGATAAGCTGACCTTCAGAAGGCCATCCTTTTAAAATATTTGGGCTGGCTACTCTAGGACACAGAATGCTGAAACAGAGGGCATACAGATAATGTAACACAGAGAGCTTTGCTAAATAATGTTGGCTGGAATTTCCAGGGATAATGGTTGTCCCAATTATGGAAATTACAAAAGACTGATTAGATACCATAAACTAGTTTTAATGCATTTTTGAATTAATTATATTTGTAGAATTACAGGAATTTCCACTTCCTTAAAAGCAACAGAACAGGGATGCAAAAATCCAACGAACAATAGATTGCATCAAAGAGATAAAAAGAACTTTACTTTTGCAGCCCAGATCTGAAATCCCTACCAGACAAGCAATCACATTAAAGTAGGTAGGATCTAATAAGCAAGAACATCACTAACTAAACTTTTGAACAAGTGCAACAAAGGTAACATGTATTTACTACTGCATCTATTAACTGAAAGTCTGGATTTAAAAGTGATGAATATTAATATGATGAATAAATCAAATAAATTATCAACAACGATCAACACAAATGTTAAATGTTTTTCTGGAATCCTTCAAATTCCACTAAAGCAAAAAAAAAAAAAAA